CCTCTCAGAATTTTAGATAATTTTTCAATTTATGCCTATATCTCCATTATAATCCTAGAATCCTCTACTTTTGATTTCATAACGGATTGGATTATCTGTTCACCTTTCAATAAGACATTAAACTTGGAAACACAATATGGTTTTTGTTTTGTTCATGAAACTAGATTACATGGAAGTGATGATAATTATATTCTACTCAACAGTCAATGAGAGAAGATGTCTTCTTGGCTGATAATCAATTTTTGTTCCTATACCTCACAAAAATGCATACAGATAGCAAAATTGATAGACATAAGGGCGAACGATTCTAGACAGAAATGAAAAAATATTTTAAAATGGTTAGTGATTTAATATTTTTCAATATTTTGCTTTTATTGAGATAATATTCAGATTTGTCAACAAAAACCAATTCCATTTTACCATATCTATATATTTATCTATCAAATATATGTGTTCTATTCAATTAAATTCACATTTCTCAATTCAGTCCAAATGCATAATGAATTCTTCCATTTGTTCAAAATTTGTTTATTTGGCTTTTTTATTGTAAGAGTAAGCAAATGGCAATAGACCAAACAATATCACTCGGCTAATTATGAAAGTAAACCACCTTTCCAAGAATTTTTGTATTTTGTATATTCTCACCCTGTGTTTCCTACTCTTCTGCACATTTCATTTGACATCTTCGTCAAGCAGCTGACCTATAAGTCAGTGATGAATTGGGTTAAATTTTTTTTATATTAGGACATTTAATTCAAAACATTTTAGCTAAAAATTTTCAGCTAGCTTTCCTGTTTTTTTTTTTTTTTTCCTTGTGAAGAAGATCAGCCTTGAGCTAACATCCACCAATCCTCTTCTTTCTGCTTAGGAAGACTGGCCCTGGACCAACATCCATGCCCATCTTCCTCTACTCTACATGGGACACCGCCACAGTATGGCTTGACAAGTGGTGCGTTGGTGCGCACCCAGGATCCAAACCGGTGAACCTGGCCCGACCGCAGCGGAGCATGTGCACTTAACCGCTTGCGCCACCGGGCCGGCCCCTAGTTTTCCTATATTCTGACTGTATTTTCATGGCTTGACATGGCGGTCTTCTTCACCATCACCATCATATTAAAGAATTTTGCAATCCAACAAGGGAAAGAAACAACAAGACGTAATTATGAACTAATTATTTTTAGCTTAAGCTGATGAAACACACAGCTGAATCCAAAGAGCATTCTCATAAATCTGAATTTCATTTAAACCACTCGCCTGATAAAAATGGGCATTCAGATAATAATATAAAATTAAGATATTTTGTTTGAATTCAACAAATATGTTTGATTCAGTCAAATAGTAGCCTCATAAACTTGCCAAACTGGAACAGACATTAAATGACAGCAGGGCCTGCACCTCATCTTGCAGGTAAAAAGTCAAACAAACAAACGAACAACAAACTCAGAAAAGCAATTGGCTTTTAAAGAGTTATATTGGCTCTAGTGACAGAATCAGGACCACGACCAAGGTCTTCTGAATCTAGGCGCCATGATACATCCTCCTTTCTCAGTGTTTTCTCCCCTCTACTCAGCATCCATCAACACAGCTGAATTTATGGGACATGTGAAAGAAGATTCCCTCTCTTAGATAAAATCACCATTTCTATAATAGTTTATTGATATGATATAGAGAATTGAAATTCTTAATTTCAACGTTAGTTTTATCTAGATTTCACCTATGTCTATATGCATATCTGTCTATACGCATACGTATATCTATATATCAAAAGATCAAAGTCGTCTTTTGAAAGGCACCGACTTACTTAGTCTACATGAAGATAAACTTGTCCAGCCATCCATTATCACCTACCCTTTCAGTCAATCCAATCTGGGTGTTTTAGAGACTCAGTGTAAAGAGCAGATGAGATACAGTTGTGTGACTTTGTTATTTCACACTTAATCAGGTAATAGTTCCACAGTCTATGGGTATGGCCTTAAGGGCTAAAAAAAACAACAAGTTATCAATGTCATTAGATTGAGAAGCATTGTATATGACACTCCTAGTTAAACACATTATCATACTTTTACATTCTGTTTTATGATTTAATTAATTTTTGTCTTAGTTAAGGGAAAACATTTTAAGTTTATAGCAGAAATGCCCTTAACTTCCAAATAAAAGCTATAATTTGGCCAATGGAAGATTATACTTTCACCATTTCACACATCAACACAGGATCTGAGCCTCACAATCAACTCACCGTCTTTTGCAGAAAGCTCCCAAAAACAGAATGACAAAGAATTGTCCTGTCTTTGAGTCCACTGAATTAAGAGAAAAACAAAAAACTCTCAAAAGAAATACACATTTCTCCCTTTACAAAGATAATTAGTATCCAAAGGATATTACTATTGTTCTATTTTGTTAACTCAGAAAAAAACAATAAAAAAATTTGGTTCATTTATTTCACAACTTTTTGTTCTTAATGATATATATACATATATCACTATTTTCTTCTTTGAAAATACATAAATCAGGGCATATTTCATTATTGAGCTTTTTTTTTTAATTTGTAAAATGTATTGGTTTTTATCCATGTGAACATGGCTATCTGCATCAGAAATAAGAACTTAAATCAGCCCTTATCACAGTCAAACAACCCAGCAGACTTAACCTCATGGGATTCTTAAAACTATTAGAACTATTTGTGATTGTTTGGCTTCAAAATGACTTGTTGAGAATGAAAAATTTTGCCAACTGTTTACTTTTTCAGAATGAAAAGTAAAGATAGAATAAATTTTGATAAGGAGAAAAAGGGATTAAACACCCAAGGCAAACATTAGGTTAAATATCCCTTTAAAACCTGAAGGCCATTTGAGTCTATATTCCGTCTTAGAGAATTACCACAAGTTGTGGCAGACAGAATTCATTCTTTCATTAATTCAACAAATATTTTTTGTTTGGAAGAACAAAGAACAAATCCAGTTGGGAAAATTTACTATCGAATATGTTACAAAAACACCAGCACAAAAAGATATATGCCCCCCCATGTTCATTGCAGTATTATTTACAATAGCCAAGACATGGAAGCAACCTGTCTATTGATGGATGAATGGGTAAAGAATATATTTATATTTATATTTATGTATATATACACAATGGAATATTATTGAGCCTTAAAAATGGAACTCTTGCCATTTGCAACAACATGGATGGATGAATGGACCTTGAGGGCACTGTTCTAACTGAAATAAGTCAGAGAGAGAAAAACAAATATCATATGATCTCACTTATACGTGGAATCTAAAAAAAGCAAAAAAACCCCTGAGCTTACAGATGCAGAGAACAGATTGGTGGTTGCCAGAGGCACGGGGTGAAAGGTGGGAAAAATGGATGAAGTGGTCAAAAGGTACAAACTTCCAGTCATAAAGTAAATAAGTCATGAGATGTAATGTACAGCATGGTGACTATAGTTAACGATACCGAAAGTTGCTAAGAGGTAGATCTTAAAATCTCACCACAAGAAAAAATAATGTAACTATGTATAGTGATGGATGTTACCAGACTGATTGTGGTGATCCTTTTGCAATATACACAAATATCAAATAATTATGTTGTACACTTGAAACTAATATAACGTTATATGTCAATTATATCTCAATAAAGAGTGTTATTTAGAAGGTCCAAAACAAAACAAAAAAAATAAAACGACGACAACAAAATAAAACAAAGTCCTCAGTAACGTCTTTAAAGTCACGTAAAGTAAACATATCAGTAAAGAGCCAAGTCTAAGATAGGGTCACATTCCAGTGGGGCTTAAACTTGGGTTTGGTTTCCTGTCTTTACTGAGGGAGCTGAGAAACCCGCGCAAACGGGCTGATCAGCTTCATATCCTTGTCTCCTGCCTCAGTCATTTCACCGCCACACATTCGTTTTTGAGGATTTTCAAGGCGTCAGGATTCTGAGAACCTGTTAAAAATATTGTATGATCGTTAAGAACATAGAAATATTTTGTAGACATTTAAAACCTTAATGAATAAGTAATAACTTAAGAAAAAATATTTGCTGATTGCCTGAGAGAAAATAAGGGGGTGGGACCCATGGAATTGGTAAGGAAAATAGAAGGACAAAAATATTAGGATAAAATTAGAGATATGAGTAGAGGGATGAAATATTGATTGGAAAAAATGGATGAAAACAAAAGACCTAGCTGGTGGAAGTATGTATTGGGAATGAATGTAGAATAAGATTTAAAAAGAGATTTGATAAGAGAAGTGATATACGGGTTATGAAGAAGAAAAAATGTTAACTGTAAAGCATGGAGCCAAGATCATCTACATTTTTAGATAATTCTTTGGGTGTAGCCCACTCAGGAAAAATAGGTAATGGTGTAAAGAGAATATTTTTGAACAGTTTTCAGACTGATTATAAAAATGAGTTTGTTCTTTTGGATAGTCCCTCAGTTTCTAAAACAAATTTTACTATGTCAATAAACCGAAAGGATGTTTTGTGAGCTGATATATAAAATCAAAATAGTTTTCTTTTGTGTGTGTGTGTGTGTATTCAACTTGAGATATAAATTTGACATTTGAAGAATTTGATGGATTTAAGAATTTTAAACTTGATTAGTGTATTTGAATCTAGATGGAAGTAAGATACAACAATCCAAAGAATGATAAGAATATGAGAAATGAGAAAATATTTAATAAGAAAACACCATCAAATATGAATGATGCAATGTGCTTAGTAATGGAGAGTTCTATTTAAGGAATTTTTATTTTGTGACTTTGAAGACAGACTTTTTTCTCATTAAAATGAACGAATGTAGTGGTTCAAGGGTGTTCTAACTATGCAGCTAAGCAAGCTCAAAAATTTTAATTAGTGTGTGCCTCTCCTGTTAGCAAACGTATTAATGAGTTGCCTCAAGTAAATGAATAATTTGGAATGACACAATAGAATGGTGGCCTATTTTGTCCCATGTTCTGCTCAGGGTATATAAGCGTATCTGTACAGATGTTGACATTCACACTCAGGATCTTGCCTTGAACAGCAAACCAACTCATCACTCCTGACACCATGAGGCACCTCAGCAACTACGACGGAAGCCTGGGCTATGGCTTTGGAGGCTTCAGTGGCCTGGGATCTGGCTATGGCTGTGGATGTGGCAGCTTCCCCCAACTGGGCTATAGAGGCTTTGGATTTGGCTCTGGCTTTGGAAGCTACGGATATGGCTGCTCCCGCCCATCATGCTATGGAGGTTATGGATTCTCTAGCTTCTACTGAACTACGCTCTGGTAATGCAAAATCTGTTACCATGAGTGGATTTGCCACCACAGTCTTCAATCAGTGGACTGAGATTACCCTAGGCCTATTTAGCAACCTGAGAATATCAGAGAATTTATTAATGTAAGCATGTCTGCATCATGTCTACTGGCATCCTCAGCTTGGGCACTAACAGATGATGTATGTTGAATACCAGTAAATGACTTAATTTGAAATAGAAAATATGGCTTTTTTGGTTTCATTTAACTCAATTATGTGTACATAATTAGAAATACAATACACACAATTATATATTCATGTGTACATACATATTAACATATAAAAAAGAATTCTAGTTTGAGAATTAGTAATTCAAAACAATAAAATGTTATTCTTTTTCTTTATTTTAGTCACATAACTTTCAGAATTGAATTTGACAGCAAAAAATCAACTACGGAGTTTTAAATCTATATGCATTTTAAGGAATATAATTATTTTACATTTCATATTTTATTTATTTCTATTTCTTAATGCAGTTCAAAATTTGGAACTAATCCTTTGCCTCCTTCAAAAATTTTGATTTTCTCCATTTATTTGTTTTAAAAAGGGGGGTGTTAGATGTATCTATTTATGGTTGCTAAACATCCGTATCATTAAAACTGTAACCAGAGCAAACTTTCTTTCCACAAATCTTATAATGCATGTTTCTAAATTTTTAGAGAAAGCAAACTGTTTTTCTATGAATCTTCAAATTATATATTATCTTCCTTTATTCATAATCTTCTGCTTTCATTTAGTTTGTTATGCACGTAAAATAAGACAGACCTAAAAGTCATTGATAAACTGGAAAATGAAATGTGAACTTTGTTCATTCAACTCACTCATCTCACCTGTTCTCATATGGGGACACTGTTCTTCAGCATCATCGTCATTATTATACTGAAATATTTGTAATCCAGTAAGAACAATAAACAGGTAGAAATATTATCATGAGGCAAAACATTGTGTGGTTTCAGCTGAACAAAAGCACCATTCAATAATTTTTAAAAAATTATATAAAGATAAATTTCAGTTAAACATAATCCCTTCAAAAATGACTATTTTATTGGCAGCATAAGAAATAAGGACTAGAATAGGTAAAATACTGGATTTCCTAAATTGTTTTCATTAAACTAAATGATACCTTCAGGTAATGATATGAACCTAATGATATTTGGTGTAAGCTGGACAAGCGTAATAAAAAAAGGACAAAAATGAAATCATGGAATGAAAGACTGAAAGGTACATTAAAACTCCATAATGCCACATCATAATATTGCAGGCAGACAATCTCAGAATAAGTGATTTTCCCTGACAATTAGTAGCAAAACTAGGGTCGGACTCCCGCTGTCTTAACCCTCAGGTATTCAACTATACTATGCTGACTCTCTCTTTATGTATTTTCACCTTGAATGTCATCAAATAAATCATTTTGAAAGTTCTGGCCATGGTTATAAGAAGAGCTAAATTATCACAACTGATTTTATGGAAATTGGTCCCTTTACTTAGATTAACATCTATGTTTCTTTAACATTTTTATTGTTCTGATATAGGGAATTGTACCTATCAATTTCTAGTTTGTCTGCTTTTGAATATAACTAAACAATGAGTAATGTTAAAACTCAACTCTAGGGGCTGACCAGGTGGCATAGTGCTTAAGTTCACGTGCTCCACTTCGATGGCCCAGGGTTCATGGGTTTGGATCCTGGGCGTGGACCTATGCACTGCGCATCAAGCCATGCTGTGGCAGCATCCCACATACAAAATAGAGGAAAATTGGCACAGATGTTAGTTCAGGGAAAATCTTCCTTGCAAAACAAACAACCAAACAAACAAAAAACTCAACTCTAGGTAAAACAACAACAACAAAAAACCCATCATGGCCTCTTCTTTCAGTCAATGCTATCTAGGGGTTGTATGCAGCATCGCATAGGCTGAGCTGCAGAAACAGAGCCAAGCTGTTCCAGTGAAGGATTAGACTAGGTAGTTTGACCCAGTAGAACAAGATTTCTATTTTCCTTTCATTTGCGTTAATATCTCCAGGGACAGGTTCCATGGGGCTGACAAGCAGTAATCAATACAATTATTACTACTGTTGACATTCTTAGTACAATCAATATTATCATAATTTTGTTCTGTTTAAGGTTGTATTGATCTGTACCTGAGGTGAGAGAAAATGTTTTGAATTTATAACAAAATTCTGCTTTACTTCCCTAGAATATGTGAGAACATTTTTCATTCCTCCAGCAATCAACATGAATAGAAACCTGGGTCATGAGTTAAAACTTTTTTAAAAATAGCAATGATCCAAATCTGCTTTTGACCCACTGAATGGACAGAAAAATAATAACCCTCCAAAGAAATTCCAATGTGACTTTGTCGTTTGTGCATATAGGGGAAAAAAACAGTTTTTTTCCATATTTTTCAAACTGTTTTTTCTTGTTTTTACAGCTAATGGACATTTATAAGGGATGAATACCACAGTCATGTGTTTTCTTCTTTGAAAACACATTTAACATTTATTGTTATCGAAATTTTTCACATGTATCTAATATTATTTCTATCTATAGAGACAGTGTTATGCATTTAAAAAAAACCGCCTTTAGTCATGGTCACATGTTCTGACAGAGCTGTATGAGAAGAGTGTGAAATACTTAATGCTATGTAATTTATTCATACTTCTAAATGATTCACTAAAAATTAAAATATTCATTTTATCAATTGGTGATTTGCTGAAATGAGGAATAAAAATGGCATGAAGTTTGGTTAGAGTAGTATGAAGATGAAAGGCTACTATTAGGTTAAATGCCACTCTGAAACCAGAAAGGCTGCTGGAACTCATGTCAACCTTAAAACATTTCTTAGAATAGCCAATGAGTTGCTCAGGTTATGATATGCATGATCCTTGTTTTAATGTCAAAGTCATATGATTCTTTCAAAAAATATTGTGGAGCACCAGCAAAATGCTAGGTTTTGTTTAGATACTGTCAGGTCAGTGAACAAATCCACTGAAAAAAATGTGTCATCCAAATATGACTTATAAATCTAGGCAAAAGCTTAGCAATATGGTTCAAATCATATAATACAAGTTTCTTGAGTCCCAAGTTTCAAGATATGGGCACATTTTCACAGGGCTTAATCAGATATGGGTCAGCTTTGGGTATTGATAACCGACCCTCTGGGCTGAGATGAGGGACTCTGGGAATACCAGGCCAACTGTCTCCAAAGAGTGTCTCCTTATTCTCTGTTCTTTTTTTACAGTTGTGCTATACATTTAGAGAATTTTTTAAGTATTCCAGTTTGTATAATATTTTTTAAAATTTCAGATAATTTTAAGAGCTGAAATGTGTTTTAAACAAGTAAAATGTTATCAATATCTTAGAAAGCTCTAGTTCGTATCTTAGGAAAGATGAGTTAGAAATTGCCTGAAAACAAAAAACGGGCAGAGACTAGGCAAAGAGAAGACAGGGGCAAATGTATTATACTGACTATGACCATCTAGATGGAAGGAATGCAGTGTTGATTTGAGTATATAGGTTGGAGCCCAAACCATTTTACCCACTTCACACTTTTTCCTGGATGTAGTAATGAATCATGAAGGAAGGAAGTTGGGTGCAGTTTGAAGAGAGATCTGAAAAAGATATGATACATGGATAAATGATGGAGGGTAGAGAAAGAGAAAAATGGTGTATGGAGGCAAGTATAACCTGCATTTATGGTAGCAGTGAGACTAGAACTTATTCTGGAGAGAGAGCCCAGCATATACAAAGAGAGCTGTGGGAAGGCTTCCCATGAGGATTTTTGATCACTGTGATGGTCTCTCTACTTCTGACTCCAATTCTGCTATGTTTTTAAACCAAAACAAGTATGGTGCTGTGTAAAGCCAAAAATAAATCTATCAATTGTACGTGGTCAAAGTTCTAAAACTCTAGAAATCAGGTGAGCTTTTGTTGTTGTTGTTTTCTGCTATACACAGAAGGTGAACCAAATCTTTCTTAATTTAAGGTGTCCTATAAAGTGAGGTATAACCTTTGCTTCCCATGTTGCAAAATATGTGTCTTTTGAAGAAACTGATAAATTTAAGAGCCTTGACTTTGATTATTTCTCAATATTTTGTAGAATCAATTACAACCACTCTCAAATACCTGTTAATAGAAGATATTTAATTAGAAATTCAACAATATTTAATGTAACTGATGTTAAGTGACTGGTCATAAAGAATTCTGTTTAGGGTTTGGTATGCCTATAGTTTGGAGAAACAGCAATTCATTATAACAAAATTAAAGCAACCAGCTCAGGAACAACCTAACTAGGTGTCCAAGCAGGTTCGGACATTCTTAATGAGTGTGATAAGGGGACCATAGATTAATGAGTTGTCTTAGGGAAGGGTAATTCATGGAATGACACCAAAGGAGGGGCACGTATTTTACCGCATTCTCTGCTCAGGGTATATAAGCATACCTGTACAGATGTCGACATTCACACTCAGGATCTTGCCTTGAACAGCAAACCTGTTCTCATCACCCCTGACATCATGAGCCACCTCAGCAACTATTACGGAGGCCTGGGCTATGGCTTTAGAGGCTTCAGTGGCCTGGGCTCTGGCTATGACTGCGGATATGGCAGCTTCCCCAGACTGGGCTATGGAGGCTTCGGATTTGGCTCTGGCTTCGGAAGCCTTGGATATGGCTGCTCCCGCCCATCAGGCTATGGAGGATATGGATTCTCTAGCTTCTACTGAAAACTTGCTGAAATTGGATGTAGAAGGAAAACCTCCAGATTTCTTTGGTCTTATCGTGTTCTTTCATTCCCAAAACATCTATCTTATTTTCTCCAGGATCGATTGACAGCTATTTATCAATGGTTAAACTGCTTCTATGAATATTTGGTGCCTTTTTACCTCCAGAACCTACCATCCAAATGCATATTCAATACGTACAACCATTCTAGTTTGATATCCTCATTTTGGTTTAGTTTTCTTGCCACCATTACTATGATGTCAGCTTTCTGGCAAGATTCTAGAGAAAACTTGCATTTTACTTTTGTCTAATGAATTGATTACTCACAATATAAATAGTTGTGTTATTTTTGATGTTTTTATTTTTATTATTTTAACATCTTCTTTTGCAACTAATATAAAATTTTACTTATGAAGCAGGGAGTCTGTGGCTATGTGGTGTAGTATGATGCAAATGTTTCTAGTT